AAGTATTTTAACAATTCTGGCTTCTACTGATAAGACTAGGTGATATTAGCATGACATTTACATTTTGAACCGGAAAAGTGAGCAAAACCTTGAGGAAATTCTAATTTTACTGTTCTCTTTCTTTGAACCCACACCCACAACAAGTAGCTTTCCCGGACCAGGAAATCACCCCACTTTATTTTTCAATGGGATGCTCAAGGCTACAGTAACACACGTCGACTTACCTGCTTACTCTTGACAGCTATCATACACAGTCACTATATTATTCTACTATAAAACACTGATACGACATTCAAACTTTACGTTTTCAAGAGGTTGTGTCAAGTCTTTAACAACATTTTGAAATTGAGGCTAGTTTCCTCACTAACACACAGCAGGTAACTCATTTAAGTCGTAGCAGAGACAAATTCAGAAATAGCATGGTGTTATGAATGGACAGTTAAATATTCAGAATAAAAATGTTTTACGATGTAACGTTTAGCCAAGTTACATGTATCAGTCATGGTGGTTAGCCGCTGTCTCCAGCAGAGCAGCACAAGAGTGACAGCGGGAACAGAGCCGAGCATACACTAATAGTTAGCCGGTAAACTCCGGAGGGAACAATTAAAAAAAATAAAATAAAACGAATCATAACTGAAAGACTACACTCTCACCTCGCGTAAGTCCCTGTCCTGGTTTCAAGACCATCAATGACAATGACTGTGTAATTTCTCGTCCTGGTTTCGACGCTTAACACCCGGACTATACCTCCTGCTACGTCACGTTTTACGTGGCACTACCGGCACTATAGTGGGTGTGGCGCAAGGAGGGATGTTGCTTTCAGGTTCTCCTCGTAAATTTAACAATTCACTTTCTTTAGAAAGAACGGCGGGCGTCCACGTTCTGAGAAGGTTATCCTCCCCTACACGTTCCACCCATTTAGTGATGGCCAAACGGGGCTCCATGAAGCTTTGAACCCTTTTGTACCATTGTAATGAAAACTAGTTCACTACTCAAAGCTTGATTTTTTTATGTTTTGACTAAACAACAATGCAAATCAATACAAGATTTTTCAGCACAAATTGTTGCAACAGATGTATAACAGTGTACATTTAGAGCACAACAAGACAGAAGTAGGCAAATAATAACAAAGTGAAAAAGAATGACAGAACCAAACAAGTGAGAACAGAGAAAAGAAAATACAAAGAGGTAAGGCTATTCTGAGATAAAATTAAAACGTTTGAGGAGGTCAATGGTTTTGGTTTGTTTTTTGTTAGGGTGATTTAATTGTGACAGTGTTTGGAAGTAATTGTTGAGATCAGATTGTTTAAAAGTTGAAAAGGATGGTGATTTTTTCAGAAATTTCATTTTATGGATGGAGAATTTGGGCAAAATAATGAACAGATTAATAGCAAATTTTTCAACTAGGCTTGTCAAAAATTAATAATATGTATATCATATTCTTTAAGTACAATTTCCTTACCAAGATAATTTGTGAGATCAAAACATGCACATTGAAAAAAAGATGCTCGAGTTTCTAGCTCATTGTTGCAAAAGGAGCATTTTTCTTCTATGTTTGGAATGTATTTACAAATAATAGAGTTTAATGGGCAAAATGTATGTAAGATTTTAAAGGAAAGTTCTTTAGCTTTGTTGGGCAAGACAAATTTGTAGCACAAAGTAAAAACAGTGTTCCATGTTCTTCCATCAAGACTCTGGCATGCCCATTTATGTTTAACAGCTGTTGTTGTTCTTGGAATGAGGGAGTTTCTTATAAAGATGTTGTTGAATCTTTTATCAAAGATAGAAGTGCTATTAACAGTAATATCTAAATTGATAGAGTTAAACAGAGAAAGCCAGATGGAAGTGCATTAATAACAGTATTATACTCATGCTGGGAGACAGGAACCCTGTACTTAGCTATGAAATGCTCATATGACAACAGAACTTCATCACAGTTAAACAGTTGCTTTATAAGTACAATGGTTTTTTTAAACCAGTTTTCAAAAAAAAAGGATTTGTTGTTTATGGCATTATTCCGTAAAAAAATATTTATGAGGAGAGTAGTTGTGCTTAAACAATAGAGACCAGCTCATAAGGGCTGATTTATGGAAGTTGGAAAGTTTGACTAGGAGCTTGCCCACAGTGAAGGGACACATTAATAAGAAATTAAGACCACCAACCTTTTTAAATAGGAAATTTGGGATGACATTTAGAAATCTTTTGATTCAAATGATTTTTATAATATGGTTAAATGAATAAAAATCTAAAACATCGAGCCCTCCCTCTGTAAGAGGTAAACACATAATTTTCTTTTTAACCTTGTGTGGTTTATTTTTCCAAATGAAATCAAAAAGAAGTTTGTCTAAGCAAGATGTCTTCTGTTTGGTGACACTGATTGAGGAAAAAAGATATGACACTCTTTACAGGCCCTCTGCTTTGCTGAGTAGGACTCTACCGTATAGAGATAAATCTCTGGCTAAGTGAGTGAGGTTATTTTGTTATAGTAGTAGGTAGGGGCCGTTCTGATCCACACTCCAGTCTAGAAGGTGGCGGTAATGCGCCTAAAGCTGTTTGCCAACCGCCATTAGACAACAGAAAAAGAAGATGTTCTTCTTCTTCTTCTTCTTCTTCTTCGACAACAACAACCACCACCACCACACGGGGGCGCTACGACAATTAAGAGGGGGAAGCCGTTTTGTTTTGGTTCTCTCCTAGCTAAGGTTATCTCGGTGCTTGTCGCTCAGTTGTCTCCGTTTCTACGGCGATATTTGTACTGACGGCTTACGGAAATGAAGAAGTTTTTCGATGACATTAAGAGAGACCTTAAATTTAAATCCGTTGGACCTGGGAAAAAGCTAACAGAAGACACCAGGCAAATAGCAGACTTTTCTCAAATGCTCAAACGCTGGCTGTAGCTAGTTACATAGCTAGGTGGCTAACATTTGCAAAATTGAGTTAGTTAGCGTTACTTGTTGATCATTAAAGATTATTGGGTCGCTGTTAGCATGCCGTAAAGCTAAATAGAACAATGTTGATAAGTGATTTTATTGATGTTAGTTGATAGTTAGTTGGGTAGTGTTTAACGTTAACCCTTATCATCCAGATTACATAATACTCAGCAGAGTGGAAAACGTACTTCTATTTTAAGGGTAGCTAACAGTTAGCTGTTAATTCATCATCATCATCGTCGTCATCTTCTTCTTCTTCTACTTTCGGGTGGTCTCATTAGGGGTCGCCAGAGCGAATCATCTGTTTCCACCTCACTCTATCCTCGGCATCCTCTACTCTCACCCCAATTAACTTCATGTCCTCTTTTAGCACATCCATATATCTCCTCTTTGGCCTTCCTCTTGACCTCTTGCCTGGCAGCTCCATCTCCAACATCCTTCTACCAATATAACCACTATCCCTCCTCTGCACATGTCCAAACCATCTCAATCTATCTGTTAATCCACGAACTATCTTATTTACCCGATGGTTTAAGTATCGTGAAGTGAGTTTTACTCCTAACGTCAGCAAAAACACCCAACTTTCCTAGTTGTTAACTAACGCTATGCATTAGTCTTAGGCTTGTTGTGTCACTGATGTTTTGATAGTATTAGCGTATGGAATAATTTAGATTAGCTATATTTGGTTGCTGTTTGGAGAAGGACATTTGATTGCTAGCGTGAACTCTCAACATGTCAACTCATTTTGCTTTGGTACTAAAGTACCAAACCTGAAGTGGCGCAGAGCAGCTCCACTGCCAAGCCTAACCGCCATGCCCCCAGTGACGGAGCCCAGAGGGCAGGGGCTGCAGCTCTGGCCAGGATTGAACAGCAGCAGCGTCCGAAGGTCCACACTTCTCAGGATGCTATCAGGAACCAGGGTGAGTCACAGAACCATGACATTAACCTTACAGTGATTCACTCTCTGGGTGTTGTCTGAAATCAAATGGAACCGAATCACTGTTACTGTTTTTGTAGATAATGGAACATATGCATGCTTTGAGTAATGTTGGCTTTGCTTTAAGTCACAAGAATTTGGGGGTTTATGGTGCCCTTAAGCAGAATTGGGCAGGGGAATGTGGTGATGAAGGTTTAAGATGCCGTTTATAGGCCTGCTGCTATTATCATCGGACCATGTCAATTTCAGTGTCACGTCAGTACTGTTTTTCTGGTTCTATTTGTATAGGGTGTATTTGAAATGCTTAAAATATCTCTTATGGTTATTTGCAGAACCAGGTTTTTCTAAGATGTTTTTCTTAGTGACTTTGTTCATGTCACATTATTTGGTGTGCCAGAGTGCTACATGCAGCAAAAGTGTAGTGGTTGGCCTCTAGTCCAGATCTGTTGTTACACACATGGACAAAATAGTTGGTACCCTTCTGTTAAAGAAAGAGAAACACAAAGGTCACTGAAATAACATGAAACTGAGAAAACTAATAATAAATAAAAAATTTACTGAAAATTAACTAATGAAAATCAGACATTGCTTTTGAATTGCAGTTCAACAAAAGCATTTTAAAAAGCAAACTAATGAAACTGGCCTGGACAAAAATGATGGTATCCCTAGAAAAGATTGAAAATAACTTGACCATAGAGACATGTTAAACTAAAGTGTGTCCTGTAATTGGCATCACAGGTGTCTTCAAACTTGTCATCAGCCAGTCTGCCTATTTAGAGGGTGAAAAGTAATCACTGTGCTGTTTGGTATCATGGTGTGTACCACACTGATCATGGACCACAGAAAGCTAAGGAGAGAGTTGTCTCAGGAGATTAGAAAGAAAATTATAGACAAACATGTTAAAGGTAAAGGCTATAAGACCATCTCCAAGCAGCCTGATGTTCCTGTGACCACAGTGGCACATATTATTCAGAAGTTTAAGGTCCACAGGACTGTAGCTAACCTCCATGGACGTGGAAAATTGATGACAAATTGAAGAGACGGATAATGCAAATGGTAACCAAAGAGCCCAGAACAACTTCCAAAGAGATTAGAGGTGAACTCCAAGGTCAAGGTACATTAGCCACAAACCTCTGGGAGAATGCCCTTTGGACAGATGAGACAAAACTGGAATTGTTTGGCAAGTCACATCAACTCTATGTTCACAGACAAAAAAATGAAGCATACAAAGAAAAGAACACTGTAACTACTGTGAAACATGGAGGAGGCTCAGTTATGTTCTGGGGCTGCTTTGCTGCATCTGGCACAGGGTGTCTTGAATCTGTGCAGGGTACAATGAAATCTCAAGACTATCAAGGTGTTCTGGAGCGAAATGTGCTGCCCAGTGTCAGAAAGCTTGGTCTCAGTCGCAGGTCATGGGTCCTTCAACAGCATAATGACCCAAAACACCCAAGAATAACTAAGAACAGAACAATGAGCCCTATGAGCTGTGAGCCCTGATCTAAATCCTATTGAACATCTGTGGAAAGAGCTGAAACATGCAGTCTGGAGAAGGCATCCTTCAAACCTGAGACAGCTGGAGCAGTTTGCTCACGAGGAATGGGCCAAAATACCTGTCGACAGGTGCAGAAGTCTCCTTGAGAGTTACAGAAAAATCGCTTGATTGCAGTGATTGTCTCAAAAGGTAGTGCAACAAAATATTAAGTTAAGGGTACCTTCATTTTTGTCCAGGCCAGTTTCATTTTGTTTATTGAAATACTTCTGTTGAACCAAATTTCAACCTGAACCTCTGGTTATGAGATGACCTGCTCTACCTCCTGAGTCACAGCTGCCCCCAGTAGTATAATACATAAGGAACCAATGGCATTTGAATGTGTTCACAAGTAATGGTTATTCAACAATTAAAAAGTTACTTCAGTCACCAGTTTTTTTTTTTTTTGTTTGTTTTTTTTTTACACTGTGAGATATGAGTTTGATTAAAGAGTTACGTTTAATATTGTTCATGATCTGTTGGTAGGCTAAATATACACATAAAAAAGACATAATTTGCACGACTTTCTGCATTTGCTTGTAGTTAAAAGAGAACTGGAGGCAGAGGCGGCTGCACTGGCTGATAAAAATAAAGCAGCTACAGCAGATGTATGTATTACTCTAACCTGTTAGGTGAAATCAAAGTTTCTGAAGTGACACCATTAAGATTATATTTGGCATACAGTGATGAGTATTTAGCCCGACAATTTCTTTCCAGGGATCCAAAGTGCCAGTGAAAGATCCTGCCTGTCTCTCCGTGTCAGGTGTGTATTTCACCTGTCCACTAACGGGAGCCACTTTAACTAAGAGTGAGAGGGAAGTACACATTAAAGAGGCCATTTTAATGGTATGTCTGAAGATACCGTCTATTGTTCTTGTTTTATCTCTAACTGGAATGTGTCTGCAACTCGATAATGTGATTAGAATAAGATTATCCTAGTTGGTGTTGTCAACAAAACATGCCGGGTTTTTTTCCCCATCAGCGTTTCGAGGAGGATGCGGTTGAGGCCTCTGTTATGATGATCCACACATTTAACAAGGACAGAGAGAAAGTGAAGGCTGCTGTGGACATCATAAGCAAGTAAAAACTTGGCAGTAATTATATCAGTGGCAGATGTAATATGTTCTTGATGTTTTTAGCATTTTTTAGTATTGTCTCAGAGTTAAATGTCTTCATTCACTTAAGCCAAGTCAGGTACACTGGCTATGCAGCAGTTTGACTGATTGTGCCTACTGTCAATAACACCTGTAACTTGCTCACACAAGGACAAATGCATTCTAAAACAAACAAACAAGTGCCAGGTAATTACAGATTATAGGATTATAGATGTTTATGCAGATTTATTTTGTAATCTTAAATCTCAAATTCCGGTAATTTGTAATCAGTGTGTATAGCAAGTTGAAAAAAACATAGAAAAAAATCAACTGGACTAGATTTCTAGGTTGAAGACGTTTCACCTCATCCTCATCCAAGAGGCTTCATCAGTTCTGAGGTTTTTTCAGCTAACTATGACCTGGATGAGTGAGAATCTGCACAGACACATCTTATTTCATGGTTCTTTATCATTTTGCCAACAGGTATGTGGAAAATATATGTAAGAATCCCACAGAGGAGAAATACAGGAAGGTTAAACTTAGCAACAAGGTGTTCCAGGTGGGTATGAAACTAGAGTCTGTCAGCGTTCCTGCCCAGTTTTTTTTTGACTCAGGACAAACTTTATGGTGACCATGTGAAAAGAAATATAAGGAACATCAGTTTGCATTTCTTTTGTAGCATTCTTTTTGTTTTATTTCAGGAGAAAGTACATTCTGTTGAGGGCAGTAGAGAGTTTCTGCAGGCCCTGGGTTTCACAAGCGTAATGCTTCCTGTAGAGGGTCAAGGTAAGTTCATCCTTACAATTTTTAAAAATATCGCCACAGTATATTCTGTGCATTGGCCGGTGGTTTTTCATTTCTATATCCCAGTCAACAGATCCATTAAAAATTAAACCTGGCCAATAAAATTGTTCATTAATATTTGGTCATATCTTTGTGCTCACCTTTCCTGGAGATCAGAGGAGGAAGAGGAGTTCCTGATGTTACCAGAGCAGAGTCCTGATGCCCTGGAGTTGATGAAGGAGAGGAGGGATCGTCTACAGAGAGGAGAGCCAGTCAGAGCTCAGCTGGACAGACAGCCTCAAGCTTTCAGACCCTCACCCAATGCCCAGCGCTTTGAGCTGCCACCAGAGTTCTACAACCTGACATCAGAGGAGCTCAAGAGGGAGCAACAGCAGAGGTACAAACTCCTTAATATGAGATGCTGTAGTCTAAGTTGTGGGACACATCTACTTGCACAGAACAACTACATTTCTCTCCGATTATAGTAGTGATGTATCACCACAAAAAGTGTCCATCTCACACACACACACACACACACACACACACTTCCCAACACTGTGGTCTGTTAGTGTTTGTCCATCAGCGAATGATAACATTTTAGAGTGTATGGATTTGATGACCAGCGTGTCTTGTGTGTTTTCAGGAGCGATTTGGTTGAGAAGAGCGCCATGCTGCGCACTAAAGTCATGAGGGAGAAAGAGGAGCAGAGGGAGAGAAGGAAGTACAACTACACCCTGCTCAGGATCAGGCTGCCTGATGGAAACCTGCTACAAGGCAAGACCTTCTTTATTCAGAACAATACAAAATGAGTTTAAGATGATTTAACTAAAAACGTTTGTCATAGTTTTCATTGTCACAAACCTATACAGATTAGTTTTGTTGATAGCCCTGATAGAAATGGTAGTTAGTAAAGATGATGTGTGACCACAGGGACCTTTTATGCGTGGGACCGGCTGCCGGCACTGTTTGGATTTGTACGGGAGTCTTTGGTGGATGGCTGGCAGCCCTTTGAACTCATCGCTCCTGGAGGTCAAAAACTACAGGACTCTGATGATGTCGCTCTTGCAGAATGTAACTTGGTGGGTTGAAACCAGTCAGCTCATGAGCCATCCTACATAAACTAGTGTATATACCTGTGCATACCAGAGTGTCATCTTTTATATAATCCTGTATTTGCAGGTATTGACAGTCAGTTACTATTTAACTATGCCTGTGTTTTTTCTTAGGTCCCTGCAGCTCTGCTCACCTTTGCCTGGGATGCAGCTGTGCAGGCAGATATTGCAGCTGCAGGTGGAAAGAGCCCCACACTCCTGAAACCAGAGCTGCTGGAAACCATACAGACCCTGAGCTGAGCATACCTACTCTGTCCCTGAACTCTGCCTGCTACCTCCCTCTCTGGCACTACAGGGGTAAAATTGCCCTTCCAAGTAACAAGTGATGTGTATTTTTACAAATGCTTATTTAAGTCAATAGCAGTGATAGAACAGGGGCAACGTCACCTTAATGTGCTTGTTTTGCTATGAGGATAAAGTCACCCCACAGTCCGGTCTCAACAGCACATTCTGCTGAAAGAAGCCTACTAACAGATTTCAGAAGAAAGCAAGAGGTATCAGTGTTGTTGTTTTTTTTATGCATCCTGAATGTGGCTGTGGACAGACAGTAGTCATATGTGCTCTACCCTGCCATCAGCCAGTATACATCATGTGGCATGTTGAGAGACCTTATTTTAAATGTCACCACTTCCTCCTGTTTTTTTTTTTTTTAAGTCAACAGTCCATCTTGCTTGTGCAACTGTTGAACTAATAAAATGTTCGCAACCTTTCTGTGTGGAGTTTGCATGTTCTCTCTTTGCCTGCGTGGGTTCTCTCCGGGTAGTCCGGCTTCCTCCCACAGTCCAAAGATATGCAGCTTAGGTTGATTGGTGTCTCTAAATTGCCTGTGGGAATGAATGTGTGTGTGTGTGTGTGTGTGTGTGGTTGTTTGTCTGTGTGTTGGCCCTGCGATGGACCGACAACCTGTCCAGGGTGTACCCCGCCTTTCGCCCGATGCCAGCTGGGATTGGCTCCGTTTGGGTATAGAAAATGAGATGAGATTTGGTATATGCCTCCATTACTGTAAACATACATAAGCTTCTCTTGTGTGTTTGTTCTCTGCTCTGCAGTGGCCTTGCACTCCTTGAGTCTTATATGCATGAGCCCAAATCAGAAATGAAATGTTTTTATGGATAATTTGAAAACAGAAGTCAACCAGTGATAAATATCATTTACATATGAAGTCCCCAGTGTATAGCATTTTATTGGTGTAGGCCATGTGCTGACTGTGATATATATGATTTTAAGCCCATTTAAGGATTCAAAACTTAATAAAACACTAAATGTAAACAGTGCTCTGAATGCAAAACTACAACATATTTATAAGGTTGTTTGCTAGTTTTTTAGACAAAAGATAGTTACTACCACCTCCTAAGAATATTGGTTGCAAACCAAAAATCATGTTAAAGAAACATGTCAAGTATCCATATCATGCAGAATCTGACGCACAATGCCAGAGTTCATACTGTAAGACCAAGTCAGCCATAAGCAACCTCTCTGCACGCCGCTGTGTTCAGCCTATCTGCGAGTATTCAGTGGGTGTACATGTTTTACCAGCTTTGTGACATTGACCAGTTGTGATTGTCCAGATGTCATGTTCTGTTGCTTTTTAACCTGCCCACAATAAAGACTGCTTGCACTGTACCCTAACTTTAATAAACAGAATGATTGAGGCAAGTCTGTGCATAAGGGGCAGCTACAGTACTTTACAACACATGACAAATAGACACGACATACTGTGTACACAAGGCTGAATTTCCTATTAAGTTATTTCCACCAAAACATGATAGTGTTGGAACACAATCATTTAAAAAAATATTTATCAATGACAGATATTTTACCGCCAAATTAAACTGCAGTCAATTAACATCTGACACCTTAAATGTGAATGTGATTAAATAATGGATGGCTTTTTAGCTATTTCACAAATGTTTATCAAAGTAACAGGGAGTGAACAGCAGATGCATTACAGCTTGTTTACCAAAGATTAAAATGTGATCTGAATTTTGGGGAAATGAAAACCTAAGTGCCACTTATAAAAGTGAACTGTTTAGATTCTGATTAGCCCAAATTTGAGAACCTTTTTCACACTGAAGAACACAATACTGTAACTCTACAAGTAAGCAGAAACAGTCTCCACCACGAATATTGGTGGTCGGCGCTTTGTGGCATGCAAGTTCTTCTGTGTAGCTGGCCCTGCAACAAAATATGCAAATCCTGGATACAACCTTGTGCAGTAGTTTACAGTCCTGTATTAGCCAAGCATCTTCCAGACATATTTTGATTTATTTTATAGAAACTTCTAGGAGAGAACTATACAATATGGTACCTACAATAAGGGGAAGGATCTATAGTATCTTCCTTATAATTAGTACCAAATAACCAAGTCCTTTTCAGGACACCCCATAGGAAATTACCTACCTGAAATAGTGCTGCCACAATTGTAATGCCCAGATGTGGGGAAAAAAGCCATACTCCAACTGCTGATGAGCAATTTCGTGGACAACATCCCAGTCTTAACCAGAATAGTGTAGTCATTGCTTTAAAGTGTTAATGTGTCGATAGCGTTAGCATCATGCTATCAAAGACACCCAGATAAAGGGGCAAAGAATCAACAGAATATAAAAGTGCAGTACTTTAATTCCATGTTTAATGAATGCATCCTGTTCAAGTAGTCTTAAAAAAAAAATACATTTATAAAACATTGTGACACTGGACCCAACTATGTACAAATCTAGCAACTTCTCCAATGAGTTGTCAGAATTAGAAATAGCAGAATAAATGCACTCATTGAAGTCAAAGATGGACTTCCAGCCTCTCATTTGCCAACTCTAGTTTCTTGTAAATTATATACATTTAAACCACAAGAAATACGATATGAATTCAACGTTTCAAAAAACGTACATAATGCTGTTCTTGATGTCTTGGATGAAACTGGGCATCTTCATTCTGCTCTTCCTCTGTCTGTTCAACCCAATCTGCAGCAGTCCTTACCTGACTGAGACGCCAATGCAAAAATCAGATACATAACTAATGAACACTGGACAAACCTGCCCTCCACAATCAAGTCAGACACACTGATTTTATGCACAACTACGCTTTACAGGCAAGGTGGCTCCCGACTCTTGACAAGCTTGCTGGAAGACTTGATTCTGTCTTCAACACAGCAGAGATCAGAACCAGGTAGGAGAAATTGTGAGTAGCTTGGCTGGGAGAGATAGTCTATCTGGTCCTCAGGCAGTGGCGGGTGTAGGAGCAGCACTGGCCACAGGAAGAACAGCTGTGTCAGAGGGGGTGACATCTATTAGGTTGTCTCCCTCCCTGGAAGAGCTTTCTCTGGTTTGGCCTAGAGGGTGTTATTTAATAAGCTTTCATTAAAAAACAAACAAACAAAAAAAAAAACATCCATTTTACAACTACACCAACAGCTTGCAAGTGTTTCTAAATGAATATTGAACATTGCTAACTGTTTTGTCTTCTATTCAACCAAACAACATGTCAGTTAATGAACTTAAAATGTGCACATGTAAACTTTGTACAGAGCCAGGATAGCCATTTCCCCCCCTTTCCAGTCTATTCTAAGATAGGCTACAGCTACATGAGAGTGGCATTCTGGCTGTTTATCCTTGTACTCTTCATAATGAAGAACCTATGTAATGGGTTTCTCTCTGTTTTGATCCTTACGTGATGCTAAAATCAGCACAGCAGACTGAGATTTGGGAAATGTGCAAGTCAGCTCTGGCTGTGGAGGAGTCTAAGCCCCTTTCTGTGCATGGGTTCTCAGAAATGTTTTCATGCAGCTTTGAGGAATAACTCTCGTTGCCAGAGAGAAAGCCAATGCATCCCTTTACAAAAATTTGGAGTTACTGCTGTTTAACTGTTCAAATGAAACTACGACTACACTATCTTTACCAAAAAAATGTCAACATATTTTGTATGTGTCTGGCTATAGCGGTCTGCGTGACAATATCATCTGCTATCATTTTCAAGTTCAATCACATCTTAAAAATCTTGATAATGCAAAATGTTTGACGGACTGAATCTTTGAGTAAACATTAAAAATAGACAGTGACGGCTTGGAATGCATCCTGTGTAACTCACCACTCTGTGCAGAGATTATAACACAGTCTTCCTCATCATCATCCTCAGTATCAGCATGAAAACCATCAGCCTGGAGGCTTGCTTCCATCTGGCAAGGACAGAGAGGTAAGACCATCTGAGAGGTGATAGGCTACAATAAATTGTGAAATTCATATTTTCATAAGATGATGATGGCAACTGATCAAAGTACACCAAGAACTCAAATGAAGTCCATGAAATATTGCTGGAAAAAAAAAAAGAAAAAGAAAAAGAGGTTTTGTTGAATTTCTCTACCTGCTCAGGATCAGTACATCTCTTCATGAACTTGGTGATCGACATGCTGCCTGTGCTCTTCCTTTTGTTAGATGAAGACAGGGTGGATGATGTCTGAGGTGTAGTGGGAGAGCTTCCCTGAGAGCCTGTGGCTGCCTGGGGTTCTTCACGGGAGTCTTCTCGAGCTCCTGTGGTGAGGTAGGTCCACTGGCAGGGCACTGGCAGAGCTTCCAGTCCAAAACAGGACAGGACCTCTGGATGCACATACCAGCAGCAGCGTCTGTAGGTAGAGCGCTTCTCATAAACAGCACTGGTCCGGATGAGGCGCTTCAGTTGTATTCTGATGAAAGAAAGAGGGAAAGATGCAATTTTAACTGATGTAAAACTCAAAAAATATATTTCTAAATAAGATAAACAGTGGCTTGTTGAAAAATACTTAGATGTTTTACAAAAAGTGTTTTGACATTTTAGGAGATACATTTGTTTGAATACAGGACGATTTATCAAAATTCTGCTAATACTGTGGTTTGGTTTTGGCTAAGACTGTACAACTTCAATAATTTAAATCTATGACTTGAAACAAAAATTGTACATTAACACAAACTGTTTCAAATATTCTTTAACCTGGTGGGAATATTTTCTGCTGGGCTCTGAGGGCTAGACAATGGAGGAAGTGGTGATGAGGAAGATGAGGTCTGCTGACGGCAAAGCTCCTGAAACTCAGTGATGATCACTTTGCTGCTGTTGACATTGCCATGCAGCAAAGGTAGCAGCTGATAAAGTACTGTGAAAAAAAGAATATTAGACAGTTTAAGAATAACTCATTATTAAAGTATTTTGGTACAAACCCCAAACCTTACCAACTACATGAAGTAGTTACTTATAGAAAATGGACCAATCAACATAACATTTACTAACACAGTACTACTTAATGACATATGATATTAGAAGTATACTTAGAATTACTAATTATGTAATGATTCTTAAAATAAATGTTATGATTACTGAACCAGAAAAAGTTAAGAGAACATGCACACAGAAGCAATTATCAGCTACTAATGACATTTCTAGCAGCTGATGGCAAAGCCACTAACACAATTAACACCAGTTTATTTTTGAGTTTTCACAAAAAAATAAAAAAAATTAAAAAAAAGATTTAAGCTATGGTTGGCAATTCTTTTCAGAAGCATTGTTTGTAATATATCTTGAAATTCTCTTCTCATCCCGATGGCAATGAAAACATTAAATACTCTTGACAACTTGAAGGAAAAAAAAATCCACCATCTGTGGCAGCAGTGGGGCTGAAAAAAAGTCTTACCAATAATTTTAGTTATCCCAAACAAACCCACTGAATTGCCTACCTGCCTGTCAACCTATTTCCTACTTAAACGCACTCTGCCTGTGCACTCAATGTGTGAGCCAGGAGTTTCCCACAAGGTATTGCATTTGCAGGTGTTATTGCTCTGCTTTACATAGCTAGCAAGCTATGAGAGAGAACAGAACAGCAGTTTTCATTCACAAATACAAGCCCGTTACAAGCCAGGCCTTCCCCTTTAAGACATATAGCCTTATAGGTTTTTCCAGGATTGCCAACCCTGCCTTTAATATACTATACTTTAGTACAGTACTACAACTTCACTTCCAAAACAGCTCTGTCCTACCAGTGTAGGTCAGTACCTTCTGCTATACGGGATACATGTTGAGATTCCTGTCAATCACTTTGATTAAAGTCTCCTCATACTCTCAAAATAAAAAGTCAGAGATAAAGCTGTTTGCTGTGCAAGGTTTGGCCTGCTTACAAGGCTAACTAAGGCTACATTCACATTACCTGCCAAAGTGACCCAAATCCATCCCCACCCCACCCCCCGCCACTCAGATCTGATTGCTTCATTGATGTGGGGACAAACCAAATTGGATTTTTTTTCAAATCATATCTGGATGACTTGCATACATGGTCAGAGATCAAATTTATAACTACAGTAGTCTCTGCTTACACAACCGCTGCCAAAATGATCTGATTGGAATTCTTTCACTATAGGCCCAGTTATGGCAGAAAGTATGCATTAAATGGGGTTTTCAATGTTAAGTTAAATGGCCATCAGATCCAGAATCTGAAATTTGGTCTGGTGGTAGACACTGGTCAAATTTCAAACAAAAAATTAATTTGATAACTTTTGATGGAATTTTTTTTTTTGCCGATTTTTAAAAATTTTGCCCCATGTTAAAGATGGGAAATTTTGTGATTTTTCATAATTTTTTGACCTTGACCTGTGACCTTTTTCAGCCAAAGTCTAATCACTTCTAGGGACCAATGTCTGTACCAAGTATGCTGATTATCCATTCAACTGTTTGTCTGTAATCCTGCTAACCAACAAACATTCACATGGAACCAAAAACATAACGTCCTTGGCGGAGGTAATCATCATCTAAAGAGAGCCCACTCTACAACATTAATCTATACATCACAGTGAATCACATGAATTGTAAATGGCCTTATAAATGTATAGAGCTTTTCTATGTACTGCAGCACTCTCCCAAGCACTCACACACCCGTGAGATGACTGGGTGCAACTGGGTGTCTTGTTCAAGGACACTTCAACTGAAGGACTGTGGACTGGAGAAGCCGGAAATCAAACCTCCAACCTTCCTTCCTGAGCCACAGCCTTCCCACACACTTACATTGTGTTTCTCTCTGACACTTCTGTGACAGCTCCTCCGGGCCGGGGCTGGTGTCTGTCTTAGGTAAAGGTTCAAACAGACACACAGCATAAGGCTGGAAGAGCTCCAAGCCAGGGCCTTCTCCATCCCAGACACAGCCCCTCACCACTGGCTCCAGCACCTTCATCTTCTTCTTGGTGGACATCAGCTCATCCCATTCCCTTGCCTTCAGTTTCTGACGTAGTTTCTGCTTCTCCAGGTCGCCACCCTCCTAAGAGGTTTCAGATGTATTAGTGGTGGTCCAAAAAGGAAGCACAAACTTTGCCTTATTTTAATGCATACAAACAAAACTGGAGGTTAAGGAGACAGAAATGTACTTAAAAAAAATCAATATTGCAGCTCCTTTTATACCTCTTCTTCTAGAGCCCCTTCATCATCTGAAAGGTAGCCATGAGGGACAAAGAAGCCATCATCATCATCGTCATCTTCAACTCCTTCCTCCTCATCTTCCTGAAAATTGATCAACAGTAAAAATAAAATCTTTACATACCACATTCCTTGTTGTGAAGTCAGAGGCAAATATAAAAACAGCATTTTTTTTCTTGCTCAAGTTCAGAAAGGAAATTTAAGCCTATTTCATTAGTTGCCACGAATACATTAAAAATGACATTCCAACTATTTAAAAAACAAAACAAAAAACAGTGATTTGTTATTTCCCACAAAACCAGTACAGACACTAAGACCAACAATGATTTTCATGTCCTGACTGTAATGCCTGTCAGTCCAGAACCTGGTTTAAGATAATTCATCTGTGCAGTAATCTCCATTAGAGACATTAGCAAAGTCGTGTACCTACTCCACCAGCAGTACATAACGACATGAAAATCTAGCAGAGTAGTGGTGTAAACAGTTCACACTCTTGCCCACTGACTCTCTTCTAAGAGTGATGGCTGTTCTTCTCAGCCTTTAGAGCTCTTTTCTTGAAAAAAGACTGACATTTTTCTGGAGGAAGAAATATGTCACCCAGTGCAGCAGTGTGGCTCACTGGTGTGATTTTAATAGCTTTCAGACAATAATGGAGGTTTACAGCATAACCAAATGAGCTAAAAGAGGCTCTGGATTCACAGACATTATGTGTTAAGTACTGCCCGTTTTAGTCTAAATGGGATATGTGAAAAATTACCAAAACAGAGAAAATCACCAGCCTTATCCTTTAATGATATAATCCTTGATTATTCAGATATTTATTTTCCTTTGTGTTCTGTACTCTTTTGACATGGTACAGATTCTGACAATGTCAATTACACCTGGAGTACAAATCCATACACAAATCACACAGTAAAACCAGTTTTATCTTGTGGTTCTTCATACTTTAAGGGGCCATTTCAATCTCAAAACAAGCCCAAGGCATGCTCATTTCCAGCCATTTAATGTTTAATCTTGGGTACCTCTAGATTAGCTCAGCACCCATCCTAAATCCAAATAGTCTAATTATTTCAGAATAATAAAACCAGAAAACCTCTTCTTAAAAACAAATGGATAGTTCATGAAGGCACACAATTCCTGTTGCTGGTATTGCGTCGAAGGTGTACAGTACAATGAACTTTAATGGCATTAATTGGAATTTCTCCTCCATAGATAGGTAAACAACGGTATATGTACGGATGAAAGAGATGTGTAACACTCTAAACAAAGCAGGTAATTGAGAAACCCCATATTTTAATTGGCATAATGCAGACATAGTGAGTTCTCCAGCCTTACAACAATTCTCTATTGTTACAGAAACTGGGCATTAACAGACAGTCTTTTTTTTTAAACTTACCATTAAGCCCCGCAAAGCACTGGAAACATCACTCCCTTTAAAGTAGCTCCAAGGTCAGTAAATCCAACCAGTGGTCGCTGCCTCTTCCCCCACACAACCACATACAGTCCCAAAGTAGTGAAATTAATTCCAAAAGGTAGCGACAATAACATCATTGATCATTAGAATCTTCTCCTTAACCAGCATCACATGCGGCAGACACACGCAGACACAAGCAGTCAAAACAAGCAGGTACTGTGCTCCGGGGGAATCCAGCACTGATGAGCTGATCATTCACTGCCCCAGGGTGCTAAACTGGCCGGCTGCCTGTAGGTTTCCAGCTACTCCATTCAAGCCACGCTAGACCCGGTCAGGTAAAACAGTGAGTCCCTGTACATGAACACTCCTGGACAGGCAGTAACCGCAGGCCCTGTATTTTTCTCCATATCCTCTGGCCACAGTGCAGGCAGCAGGAGGTAAAAGGGTGCAGTTGAAAAATTCAGCTTTTACAATGGCACTGGTGGATGTCAGGCAAGCTCACGTGAACACACAACTGCCTGGAGATTATGACCATTCAAGGAGCTCCTTAAACTATCACACAATACTTTACTTTTTTTTTTTTTAGAAGAAAAGTCTCCCAAATTAGAGTTTATGAAACTTGTATAAATCGAGTTGCTTCTGCATAGAAATACTAGAACTAGGTCATCTCTAAGATGATAATTCACTGTTGTAACATTGAAGATAAAAAAAAATAAAAAAAAAAAGAAGGAAAAGCATGCCATGGGTCCTTTAATTGACAGCTGGGATTACAGTTGTTTTTGGTGGCCTGTTTTAATTTTAGTATTAGTCTAGTCTTTGTGTGAAGCTGTCATTTTAGTTTTAGTCATGTTCATACTCTTTAGTCTAGTCAAGTTTCAGTCAACTAAAAGTCTGAGCATTTTAGTCTTATTTTAGTCAGAATTATCCATGACTATTTTCATCTATTTTCAAAACTGACGACATTTAGTCTAGTTAATCAATGAAAATTGTATTTTAGTCTCTTTTTAGTAATGCAATTCTATTTAACCCAGTCAATATACTATAAGTACCTAGTAGTATAGAGGAAACCAAAAGCTTATTTTTAGCCAAACCCATTTCAAACAAGGTTATTATATTATTGTTACCTTATAGACTCAAGAATACATCCAACACACATTTTGTGGCCACATTTCTCCCCATCTTTTTCCACAACACATTCCATTTTCTTTTCCACTTCTACGTAATGAAAGATTTTCCAAATGTCGTTTCTTCTTTTTCTCTCAAAGACGAACCCCGGCTGGCTGGCCATCGGCCCCTTTCTCTGTGTCATACTTAACTTTGTTGTCGTCTTCTAAATAATGCCACGAGTGGGGCATAAGGAAGTGACGTCACCTGTGTCTGCGCAGTGCGACCTGATGCGGCCCCGGAAGCGAGACAAGAGGAAACAAATACTGCAAAATAATTATAACGCGACTAAACGAGACAAAATAACATTTCATTTCGTTTTGGTCAATGAAAATGGAGACATTTTAGCATAGTTTTTATTTTGTATTTAGTCTTGTTTTTTTCCCCGTCAACAATATTGCATTGTACATTTAATTATAGTCATCGTCACATGACCAGCATTTACGTTGCGTCGTCTCGTTTTTGTCACGTGATAAAGGTTCGTTGACGACGATATTTAGTCATAATTTTCGTTGACGAAAGCAACATTAGCTGAGATGCACAACATGAGAATCGCATAAGTGAACATTTAATTGCCTTTGTTTTTTTGTTCCATTATCATTTGAAGCAGATGTGAGCAGAGACTACGTTGAGAACTTTTTACTAGTTTTGTTGTGTTTAAGTCAGTTTTAGTCAGCAGTGAAATACCAACAAATTCTCACCATCCTTTTCAGAATATCCATGTTTTCTTAGTCTGTTTTTACCTTCAAATTAAAACTTACGCCTTCACTGTGTGACAGGGACTCTCCTGGTTCCTCTTCCTCCCATTCTTCATCACTGTCCACCTCATAGTCCAACAACTCCTGTGGTGACAGAACAATGCTGTTGGTGTCAAGTTAAGCAAACAAATGCTTCAATCAAGTACTGGATTAAATAAATTCTTAAAACTCATCAAAAAGTATAGCTATGTAATCTGAGGTTTTGGCAGATACAGAAAGCTGTTACATTTACATATATGCCAGTTAAGGCTGCAAAATAAGTGGTTTTGTGAGCATGATTTTGATCCCTCTGCGATCTCAGTCTCACACAACGATGATTCTGCTGTGTTTGCATTAGCAGGGAGATGCCCTGCATCAAACCACACGCTCCCTTTTCCTCATTAAAGTGCATTAAACAATATCAGGAATGAGTTACATCATGTGACGAGCTGCAGGTTGGAAAGAGAAGACCAATTCAAAAACAAATCCAACATATCTGACATTATGAAAGATGTTCTGTACCTTCCTGCAACTATTTTTCAAACACTGTGCTACCTGCCCTGTACTCCTAGTGTCAAATAGCAGTTGAGGCAGAAATAAGTCACTTTGTGGTTATTAGTTAATGCAGCTTAGTGAGGAAAAGGGAGCACATACCTTTATCCAGGGATCTCACTGCTAATGCAAACACAGCAGAATCACTGTCACATGAGGCTGAGATTGCACAGGGATCTAAATCACACACACTAAAAAATGCCTTTGCACACTAGTTTTACCTTGTCTTGTCTGAAGGGGCAGCGAGGTGAGATGTGTGAACTCTTCTTATTCCAGGTACCCCAATAGGCTGGACGGTAGTTTTCATGGAATTGCAGCAATTTCATGGGTCCATAACGTTTTCGGTCTGGCACACCCTCTGGTTTAGGCCCCTTCAATGTTATACACCCCCTGAGGACACAGTACACATGGTAACTATAAAGCTACAAGTGGCTTCATTTTTTTTTTTCCAAATCTATATATGATGTACCACCAAAGCATCTCATTCAGGTATTTAAATTAACAAATGAAATCAAGATCGCACTATAAAGCACAAAGCCTCAAGGTACAAACAATGCAAACTTGTGTGGCTGAGGTTACAACAGCAATGAGTGAACCAAGGTGTAATGGTGAATGTAAAGCTATTTCAGCTTCTATAAAAATGAAAATCTGCAGCTTTCTATGTCCTATGTCATAAAGGCAATGCGTCTTTGGGACAGTTGGACTGATAACCCAATCTGATGATGCTCCCCTGGGTTAAAAGACATTATAAAAAAAAAAACACCTGTTGTTATTTTTGACACTGTAAAAGACAAATCTATAATCAAGAAAATTGTCAAATTAATCCATAATGAAAATGATAATTAGTTGCAGTCCTGCGTGAAAGCAAATATAAAAGCAAAGTAAGCAAATCAGGATGATTACCAGGCATCCAAGCTAACATTTTTCATACTGGCAGCACCGGTGCTGCCAACTGTCAGATATTAACACCAGTGCAAGATTTGATGCCACTGCTATGGTTTTACAATGCAAGAAAGAATATATATTATTTGTAGCTTGTTTTTAATTACCTTACCATCAAATGTGCATATATTTATGATGAAATTAGAAGAGAGAGAAACCTGGCTCATGTGGGTGAGCGAGAAAATCACTGATGGAACCTGTCTCACCTCTTTTGACATAGTGACTTAACACTCTACAGTGGTCCAATCTTCCTCTGTCACTCATCGGCCGAATAGCTACTGTCAAAATGTAAACTCTACCTCAAATTAACTACCTGTTTACAATGCTTCCCACAACACCCACAGATAAATGGTTTAAATCACTTGATTCTATAACTTCACAATTTTATTGGGAAAACAAGAAACCCAAAATCTAAGAATAAGTCACTAGGTGGCCTAGAAGCACCAAATTTCCAATATTACTACTTGGCAAATCAGCTACAGTATTTAGTCAAATGGATTCAGAAGGGCAGCTACAAACAGTGCATGGATAGAATTAGAGCAAAATTACTGCAAAAATAACTCAAATAACTGGAGTTGCAGACCTTCCCTTCCTACCAAACTCTATTAAGTAAATAAATTACTGTAAGAACATCACAATCCTCTCAACTCTGACAGCCTGGTGGAAAGCAAACAAAATCATCACTTGCACCATGTAGATACACTCCAATCTGGCACAACCCTGATTTTCAACTACATAATAACCCTATCTATTTTCCAACATGGCAACACAAAGGAATCACTCACCTGTATATCACCTGTTTGAAAATAACCAGTTCATATCATTTAATACACTGATCCAGAAGTACGGAGTTCAGAGAGAACAGTTCCTCCAGTACAATCAGCTAAAATTCATAATTAAGACAAAGTCACTACAATTGTGTAAAACATTCTATATCTTTTTGTAATGCCACGTATCTGTTGTCTTGTCTCCCATGTTCGGTCCCGTTTTGTTAATGTGTTACTTTGTTTCAATAAAAATAAACAAACAAAAAAAACCACTCTACAGTACATCAGTCATCATATTGATAAAGATGATGACAATATTTTATTTGGATTTAAGTAAAAACAGCTTCTAAGATGTCTACTAATGAACTGGATGGCTCCTTTGTCATTTGTGTACAAGGGATTTATCTGTACCCCATTTTGCTTCTTTATAGAAATTTCTGATCCCTACTTTGTAAAAGGCAGCTCCTCATGACATAAGGGCTCACTGTTCCATTTGTACCGACTGATTGACAGATGTTCTTTACTGGGCTGTCCTAGACAACAACTGTATTTACGTAGGCTCATCAGGAAGAACTCAGCAATATTGTTATACAGTGGCCAGAAAAAGTATGTGAACCTTTTGGAATTTCATGGTTTTCTGCATTAATTTGTCATAAAATGTGATTGGATCTTCATCTAAGTCAAGAGTACCGATGAATATAATGTGCCTAAAATAACACACACAAAAAAACACTGATCTTTCATGTCTTTACTGAAGACACTCATTCAAAATGGTAGTGGAAAAAGTAAGTGAACCCCTGGAATTAATAACTGGTTGACCCCCCCTTGGCAGCAATAACCTCATCCAGGCGCTTCCTGTAGCTGTGGATCAGACCTGCACATCGTTCAGGAGGAATTTTAGCCCATTCTTCCCGTAGAACTGCTTTAGCTCCGTCATATTTTTTGGACATCTCCTGTGTATGGCTCTCTTCAAGTCATTCCATAGTATCTCTATTGGGTTGAGGTCTGGGCTCTGACTTGGCCACTCCAAAAGGTGGATTTTGTTTTTCTGAAGCCATTCTGTTGTGGACTTGCTCCAGTGTTTTGGGTCATTGTCCTGTTGCATCATCCAACTTCTACAGAGTTTCAGCTGACGTACAGACATTTTCACATTATCCTGAAGAATTTTTTGATACACTTGGGAATTCATCTTCCCCTCAATGATTGCAAGCTAGCCAGGCCCTGATGCAGCAAAGCAGGCCCAAATCATAATGTTTCCTCCACCATACTTTACAGTTGGGATGATGTTTTCATGATGATATGCAGTGCCCTTTTCACGCCAGATGTAGTGCTGTGTGTTCTTTCCAAATAGTTCAATCCTAGTGTCAACGTGCTCTTTTGCAAACTTCAGATGTACAGAAATGTTCTTTTTAGTAAGCAGCGGCTTTCTTTGTGGTGTCCTGCCATAGACACCCTGCTTGTTCAGTGTTTTACATACTGTAGACTCATGAACATAGATGTTATCCAGTTCCAATGATGCCTTCAAATCTTTGGCTGTCACTTGAGGTTGTTTCTTTAACTCATTGATGAGTCTTCGTTGTGCTCTTGGAGTCACTTTGACTGGGTGCCCACTTCTTGGTAGAGTAGCCACAGTCCCAAAGTGTCTCCATTTGTAATCATTTGCCTAACTGTAGACTGGTGAATTTTTCAAGTCTTTGAAATAACTTTATAACCCTTTCCAGCTTTATATAAATCAACAATTCTTGATCATAAATCTTCTGAAACCTCTTTTTGGCAAGGCAAGCATATTCTTCTTGTGTGGAGCAAACTCAAAAGGTTTGAGTGGTTTTTATCAGTGAAAGCATCTCTAGTCCACAAGACTCCAGGTATGCCAACACCTAACTCCAATTAGCTTTTTTGAGGTCATTAACTTAAGGATTCACATACTTTTTCTACTAGCACTATGACGTTTTTATGGTTGTTCTCAATAAAGACATGAAAAAAAATTTGTGTTGTTATATTAGGCACATTATATTCATCAGTACTCTTGACTTAGATGAAGATCAGATCACATTTTATGATAAATTAATGCAGAAAACCATGAAATTCCAAAAGGTTCACATACTTTTTCTGGCCACTGTATATGGATTTCCTTGTCTTGCTATAGGGGGTGCTAGAAAATGTCTGTCTATTCTATGAGATGGATGAGTGACAGACATGCGGACAAATCCTGCTATGCCAACATCAGAGCCACTTTGCTTGTTATATATCTAGCATTTCTACAGTGATATTAAGACAATATTTTTTTAACACCTGTTTATTTTGCAGTCACATTTGAAAAAGGTCATTCACACCTTATAGAAATTTGGTCACAAGATCAAACAATCACTCAGTCTAGAGCCCTGATTACTATTTCCTGCCTCACCTGAGTGAGTCCTTCTGTCTGGGTTTGGTGGGTCCTGACCGACGGGGCTTTTGGCCAATCCAGTCTTTCAGTCCATTCAGGTTATCAGCAGGGTTTAACAAATACCGGTACAGCTCCTCCAGAACAGAGTCCTCACAGTGAACCCGACACAGTGGTGCCAAAGACATGTTTTCTTTTATCTCAAATGGAGCAAATTTCCCACATGCAGCTGCAAGTGTCTGAAACAGCAAAGAGACAATACAAGCTGCAGTTATATTATTTGCAGGGGTGGGAGTAAATCACACATGTGCAAGTGACAATCAAGTCTCAAGCCTTTACCTTCAAGACCCAGGCAAGTCCCAAGCTACTGTGGTGAAAATCAAGCAAATCGAGCCCCTACTCTAGGTCAAGCGAGTCACAAGTCATACAAAATTCTGATGATCTGATAACGTTAAGGGAACATCATGGATTTAAGTGAAACATTCACAAACCTTTCTATGGTTATTAACTGTGCATTCATAGGCTATAAACACTTAGCTATTAAAATAAAAAGATATGCCTTTCATTGCTGTCAGAAACTCTTCTCAATAAAAGGCATAATCAATTCAAAGCCAAGTCTAACAACTTTCCTTTGTTTGACCAGCAAATAAGTTAGCTAACGTTTGCTGAAAAGACACATTCATGTACTTAGCTTTGTGAGTTTTTGTAGTTACAGATGAAGTTGGATGTTGCGGTGATCGTTCCGCTGAGTTTTGTACTGCAGATTTTGCAGACCGCTGTTCTCTTCTTACTATTGTCATTGACAAAATAATCCTTGAATCCAAATTATTATTATTTTTGGACTAGTCCCCTCCATGATAGCTACATCCTGTGACCCGTGTTGCTCTCTGCTGGTCTGCTGTATTTTGGTAGGTTGTCAGGTTTGTGTACATCGCACTAAAAATCATCCAAATGTTTCAAAAGTAAAGCGCAACTTTTCAATATCTAGAAAAATGCTAATATTTAATTTTAAAAGGTGAAGTAACATCAAGTTATCTGTCTCAAGGCTAAGTCAAGTCTTAAGTCATGAACACCAAGTCAAAGTCAATTCGAGCATTTTGCCAGTTTCAGTCAAGCAAGTCTGAAGTCCTCAAATTTGTCTGATTTGAGTCAAGTCCCCCAACTCTGATTATATGTACATCAGGTAACAACAACAAAAATTTAAATGAAACCAATTTTTGGTGTTATAAAGTAAGAGTTCTACTAACCTTTGGAGCCTGTTGGAGCTTTGGTTTCTGTAGAAACCTTGTAATTTCTGCTTTCTCAGCTTTGAGACGCTGTAAACAGACATACTGGTCAACAGGTCATTCAGTAAAATAGTGCAATACAGACCTCCTGAATTGAGGGGCAAGAGATTAAAATTGCCAGTTTTGACACCACACCCAAAATGAGAAACTCAGAAAGTGAGAGCGTAGAGAGTCTTGAGCTTGATTTATAGTTCTGCTTTACGGCCTATGCTGTGGGCTACACAAGTGACTTACGCCATCGTGAACATTTATACTTGTGCGCAGTCATCGTCGCTCTGCAATTACACCACCAAAATATTAGCTGGCATTAGGGTTTTTATGCCACTGTGTTGTGTTTCTTCACCACTTACTAACAATGGTGATATTGGAGTTAAAACTAACAGCAGTTACTTTTAATGAAATTATGTGCAACACAGATAAGCCACTGAGAGACATGAACGAGGAAATGCAATACAACCAATAAAAGTTGGTGAGGTCTGTGTCGCCACAACGTGTAGTTACATTTCTGGAGAGGTGTCATGTTAATGTGTAGCGTATGAGGCTAAGCATGACCTACATCATACCTACAAAGTAGATTCAATTCAGAATCATAAGGTTTACTCAGCTAACTAAGTGAAAAGCTGTGCTACTGCTAATGTAGCTGCCTCTGGCTAGGTATGAAAAAAATGCTACTTTGTTACGAAACTTATACACAATCCCAAGTCTGCAACAACAGGCTCCTCTCCGTCCCATTGAGAATCAGACTCAGGTTCATATATCTCTGTATACTGTCTTGTGTTTCCAGCTGCAGCTATTATTATGCAATGTAAAGCATTATTTATTAGTTTATATTCTGATTGGCCTTTGTTAAAAATGAATTATCACCTCCAGCCAATCAGAGTAAGTGCTCATGAATAACGTAAATTTCATGCTATACCTTCTGAAACAGCCTGTTAGAGGACAAAGGGGAATGTTTGTAAAGACAGAAATCTAAACAACTTTGGGTGAAAAAAATGGCATCAGATAGTTTTAAAATACACCAAACATTTTAAAAAGTGGGTTAAAATGGTGATAATACCAACTCTAACAAATGTGGAGCAAAAAATATTTAAGCATATTCCAACACATTTCAGGACAAACTTACATCCTTCTCTTCTTTCAACCGTTTCTCTTCTTCCTTCACTCGTTTCTCCTCTTCTTTCTTTTGTTTCTCTTGAAGCTTGGCCCTAAGGCAAGTATTTAGGGCATTTAACACAAGTTTTATCACATTTTTGAATAAACACTTATTTAAGGCACTGAAAACATGTCAAACATGAACTTTGCATCACTCACTCTATCTTTGATTTCCGTAGCTCCTCTTTTGCTTTTAACCTTTCTGCCTTTTCCTTCTCTTTTTTCTCTCGTTTCTCACGCTCATCTTTTTCTTTTTGCTCACGCTTTTCCCTTTTACACTCCTCCTTTAGTTTGCGAACCTCTTCTTTCTTTTTCTCTTTTGCAGCCTTTGCTTCTTCCTTTTGGCGTTCTTTCTCCTGTTGCAGACGAAACCTCTCCTCTTGTTCTTGTAAACTCTACAATTTAAAAAGTCACATTTTATTTTAGTTTTAATAATAAATCATAAAAATATGACACAAAAATCAAGTTTTGTTTGAGGCCATCTTTTAAACTCACAACTGGGGCAATCAATCCCTGCTTGCTGCTTATACTTCAGAAACCTCACCTTCAATGAGCGTCTTTTGATCTTTTTCTGATCTGCTGGTATCTTGAGGGTGGTCTCTGGCTCCTGTGGTGAGAGGGGAGAAAACATCTGATAACCTGCCTGACATCCAACCCACTGAATATTTTATTTGACAGATTTAAACTTGAACAAATAATTAATATTGATACTGTTCTATATTTAAGAAATTTTGATTAGCACAATACTATGGGTGTGTTAAAATCATATTTATAAATATCTACAATACATCTGAAAGCACTGACAAACACCCTCAAATCAATGTCACAGTATTAACAGAGGTATTTGCACAATTTAACAAGTATTTGATTTTGTCAATACAGCAGATACCTGATGTAAGATATGACCCGGAGGGAAAATATCTTTTTTTGGTCAAATTGTATTTCCTGTACTTTGTAATAAACAATTTTCTTTTTGTGTGTGATACATTTCCAATAATGCACTACTACAAACTCTTAGGAACACTATTTAATTCACACTGTGTGACATTACACTTGTTAATATTAAACAGCCATTGGCAGGATTAAACAAAAGGTAAGCAATGGGATATATACATACTGTTGGTGTATTAGTGGGTGTAGGGTCATCAGTCTTGGACTTCTCTGGTGAGCTTTCAGACATTGAGCTGACTGATGAAACTGACAGCATGGACTTATTTCCCAAACTGGAAACAATTCCTGATTCATTCTGCTCCTCTGGCTCACTGTCACAATCCTGTGTTGTGTCAAGCTGTGAGCTAGATTCAGTCTCATTCCCATCTTTTTCATCCACCTCTTCTAAAGTGTGTGTTTTAGGACTGTGATCAACATTGCTGGATTTCTCAGAGGAGGCACATTTGTCTTTGCCCTGATACTTGTCTTTTGTTAGTAAGCTAGGAGAGGCAGAAGCATGTGACACAAGGCACTTTACAGAAGATGAGGTGTTGTCCTCAGTCAGATCTATAACCACATTTTCATCAAAGGCTGCAGAGTGTCTACTGCTCAGGAAGCCATCAAGGGGCCCACGACCATTAACCAAGGGTGGTCCTTTATGCACCAGGAGTGAAGAGGACACATCCTCCCTATCTGTAGGTTCAGGGCAGGCATGTGCACAGGGGCGTTTAGGTGGCTGGTTCTCTTTTGGTTCAGGGTTTAGGCGCTTGAATGGGAGACGGGCTACAAAAGGAATAAAGCAACAAAAAACCTTAGTTACCATTATGGTTGCTGTGTTGTATCTGTCGGCATGATGTAGATTAGGTAATCAAGCTATCACAAAGATGTTAATCAAAATGTTGTCAGAGAGCAACAAAAATGTTTTAGAGGTTTATCTAATATTATATTCATATAATATATCTAGCATGAATAAATTTTAACCTCTGATGATCTTTTGTGTATTAGCCTAGTAGGCTTGATAGTTGTGCTAATATGTAAAAATATCACTAAACAAAACAGAGCATTGTTCACATATATGCAAAAGTGGAGAATAATCAAAGGGACCAAAGAATACAAAAAAGCAGTAATCATTAATAGGCAGTGTAAAGTAAGATGTGATTAGATATGGGCAGTATTTAAAATAATTACCAATCCTACAGGCTGGATCATCAGTGGCATTTGAAAATAACTTTGAGTAGTGTCATACATTCTTGAAAAAAATTCAGCTTTGAATTTACCTTGTATAAGTTTCTTGTTGCCATTATTACTTGACTTACAGTCCATGCCTGAGATTAGAAAACAAACAGATATTAGTAACAGTGACAGTTTTGATAAATGGCTGGCTATCACTGACAACCACTGTAAATAAAGCTTTCAGCAAATAACTTTCATCTACTACACATTTGCCACATTAATAACTACACACAGTCACTTTGTTACAGCAATGTAACCACACCCCAGTGTAGCTAATGCACACTAAACTCTACCGAATAGCTAAAACGCCCCGAGAGTATTGAATATCACATTAGTTTGCAACGTCGGTGTGCTTACGCTGTAGTTATACGATTAATGTAATGGTTGTGTTTTGTTTGCTCTCCCGCCAACTGGTTTGTCAGTCGGTGCTTTAGGCCCGGTCGAGTAATAAGAGAACGCTCCTTAGGACTTCAAGCAAAGGATGCCCGCCGGGTCACAATAACCTTGTGAAAACATAGCACAACTACGACGAATGGTTACGTTATTAAGCATTACAACCACAAAACCATGAATGTGTGAAAAACACAAGCCAACCAGCTAACAACCAGCTTTCATGTTTGGTGCTAACGTTGACCATTTCATGCGCAGTAATGTGCTAGCTTGTCTGCTAATCTAACACAACTAGCAACTTGTTAGACACTCAGGAATAGTTGAGCTAGCAAAGCAATACTAAAAGAGCAAGTCGTGTAGCCAGGTTTGGTAATACATTAAAGACGTTCATAGTCAAGATAACAAGCTTGTGGATGGTACACATAGACTTAGTTAGGATGAGGCCAAATTTTCTTTGACACCGTTTCTTATCTGACATTTAGCATTAAGTTTCCCCATTAGCCTTAACGTAGGTCAGGTTTTCTTGTTAACATTAGCAATGCCGCTAGGTAACAAATTAGCTAGCTATACACGGCTAGTTTTAATATTTGAAATGTTAGCTAGTGGGAAAATTAACAATTACCTGGTAACAATGACAATAGCTAAAGTAAACTAGGGTCTTTAGGAAATAGAGGATGCCAGCTATAACTGAACGCTGACCAAACGTTACTAGGGTTGTCATCTTACTGTGCTCGCTAAACTGCAAACAAACCTACACCCCACCTACACTGTAACAGTAAATATTTTCTCAAGTTTTTAAGGAGCAACTGCAAGCTTGCTAGACATGACATTAGCATTACCTCTTCTGCTAGGAACTGATGCTACCAAATGTGCGTCCGCAAGTGGGTTTTCCGCCGCCAACATCCCAGCCACTGAGCCGGGGCCCCGCTTGTTGGCAATATTCTCGGGCAAAACTACTTCAAAACAACAACACTGATGGCGTACAATATCAAGAACGCTCTCGGTAGTGAATCGCGTTTTATACTGCTATTAAAACGAAATATATTGGTAAATTGTTTTATATAAATATAACGTATTGTCCTTCCGCATACTGCCTTGGTTAGTTTACTCCGCTGCCTCTCTCGCGGCCCCGTCAGAATTGGCGGGAGCGTGTCACGTGTAATAATAACTTTCACCGATTGGTCAGGCTCAAATAACTGCTAACCAGTTGAGACGTTTGGTTTGAGCAAATGCATGATGGGAACGCCTTCTGATATAAACAAAAAGGCTTTTCACAGGGTACGCCCTTTCTCTGATGTTTCAAGCTTTGTGATTGGCAGCGGACTTTGACTTGCAGAGGGTTGTCATGTTGTTGCAGACTTAAATGATAGAAAAGAGCTGGACTTCGAGTGAAGTGAGATATGCCAGGCTGGTGCTGTGTATTGTCTGTTATATATTTTTTTTTTAAATGTTGCTTTGATATATTTTGGAAGACAAAAACATATTTGTCACTCACTCTCACCACATACAGTTTTGTTGCTATCAGTGAGAAAGTTGTCAAATGTGTACGAAAATTACAAAAAGGTCTACTCTGAATAAAGCCACCAAGGGTTTCGCCTCACTCCAAGATGCTAAGGGCATGTTCTACAGTGTTTTCAGAGTCAGCCGAATTATCCTAGACTGATATTGTTGAGTGTGATGTAGGGCGGAATTATGTGAACTCGTGTCATGTGGAGTCAGGCGTTTTCCGCTAACTGCTCATTTGAATCCCGGGAATTGTAGTTCCCCTGCCCTCAAGAGTGTTGATTTTAAACAGTTCGGAACTACAAGCGCTAAGGTGCAGCGCAGCCACAGTGCGTTAGACGGGGGTGTCAAGAGAAGCTCATCCTCGTTCCTGAATAATTCCCAGGTTTCTGCATTTGTTAATGGAGACGTAAGGCGGTGAACGTTATCTCGGTAATTCTAACATATTTACATTATGCTTTACGAAAACTTGTTAGCTGATACAGGCTAACAGTTTGTACATCCCGTGTCAGCTGCTAAACAGTTAACGCTATTCAAATGAAGCAACAGTGTTAGATAAGGAGACTAACAGGCTTGACTACGCGTATTAGCTACTTTCTCCTGTCTAATATCAGACATAAAGTTAACATAGGCGTAGTTATAGCGAAAACGGGCACATTTAATCTATTTGTAATAAAACTGTTTAACAGTTTGATCAAATTTGGAAATTTGATTAAACAGAGCCACAGAAAAGATAAAAAAATATGAGTACACTAATTTAGAGTGTTTCTTCTCGCCCGCTACTTTAACTGGCTGAAGCTAAAAAAAATAACTTTGCATGTAAATTGTGATCATTACTGACAATGCTCTTTAGTCGTGAATCAAGTAAAAACAAGCTATAAGAAGTATTATATACAGTATTTTTTAATATCTCATTATGTGACGTTATATTCTTATCCAGGAAAGAAAAGGGATTTGGGGATTTCAAAATGGCAGGTTTGTCAGATATCTATCTATCTATCTATCTATCTATATCTCTCTCTCCCTCCCTCATCCATTCCACTTTTCCACATTTCCCACTCCTCTCCAGTGTATCCAGTCATGGTGTAAAATATTCATAGTTTTAATTTTAGCACATTACTTTTTTGATTACACTCTCACTCCCTCTTTCAGTGCCATTGAATAACTTTCCACCCCTGCCTCAATTTCTGAGAATAAAGCCATGCTTTTATCAGAACATTGAGGAGGAAATTCCAGCACCACACCAGCAGTTGGTGCGCAGAGTCTACAAGCTTTGGATGAGTATGTGTTTTCATATACATTTGTGTTTGTCATTTTTTGAAAACGGATGCACTTTATTTAACAAAAAATAATCATTGCTGTTTTTCTCTCCTCCCCACATCTCCTGTCCCTCTCGTCTCGGCAGTGTATTCTGGCACGCTGTGCATAAATGTGATCGCCTGTATTGCTTGGTGGGCTGGTGGGGGAAGTGCCACAAACTTTGGATTTTCTTTGCTCTGGCTCATCCTCTTCAGCCCCTGTGGTTATGTCTGCTGGTTCAGACCACTCTACAAAGCTTTCAGGTTAGTCATCATGATAAATCTCACAACCCAGAATTATTTCTGAACTTCTGTTTATTTGAGGTGCATATCACCTAAAGACTCTCTGCACACTTGACAAATTAAAATATTCAAAGTGCTAAAGTTGGTAACTGGACTTGTTTGAGTTTTCTTGAAGATGTTTTACCCCTCACCTGAGAAGCTTCCTCAGTTTTGACTGACTGGTGAACTGCGCAGTAAGCCTTCGTCTCTGACATCTGGTTGGCTGCCATAATCTTGTGACACAGAAGACCATCTAAAATACGCTCGGGCTGGTTTTCACACATAAATTCAATACTTAAAACTCTCAGAAGTGAAAACAATTGCACGTTTTTTATTATCACAGTGGTATCGCGATACTTAAAAAAGTATCGACTTCAAAATATCAACCAACAGGTATCAAAGTAGCGATAAGCCCATCCCTTATTTAACCCTTAACATTAACACTTTGAGGGCTATTGAAGTCGCATGTGGGTTGTTTATCCTCCAGGACTTTAAGTTATGGTCACATGAGTCAAGGTGTGACTATCAACTCACATGATGGCTGGGTGGGACAATGACCATAGACTATATATACAGTCAGGTCCATAAATATTGGGACATCGACACAATTCTAACATTTTTGGCTCTATACACCACCACAATGGATTTGAAATGAAACGAACAAGATGTGCTTTAACTGCAGACTGTCAGCTTTAATTTGAGGGTATTTACATCCAAATCAGGTGAACGGTGTAGGAATTACAACAGTTAAGGGACCAAAAGTAATGGGACAGTTGGCTTCTCAGCTGTTCCATGGCCAGGTGTGTGTTATTCCCTCATGCCCATTACAATGAGCAGATAAAAGGTCCAGAGTTCATTTCAAGTGTGCTATTTGCATTTGGAATCTGTTGCTGTCAACTCTCAAGATGAGATCCAAAGAGCTGTCACTATCAGTGAAGCAAGCCATCATTAGGCTGAAAAAA